AAAAACTATTAACTCAAATTATTATTAATTATTAATTCAATTTATTATTCATTAAAATGTTATTCTTTAACTGTAGTACGACATTAAAAATCATTTGTTATTGAATAAATACACCTTTTTGATATAATAAAATGTTAAAGTTTTTCTGTATAAACTTATAATTATATTTAATAAGAAAAATATTATTGTAATATTAATAATAACATTTTTATATTATTTTATTATTATTAAAATAGTAATAATTATAATAATTAATAACAAACTTAAAGTATATTCTAACAAGAGTTTGAAATCTTTCAGTACCAGCTGTTATTTATTTAATGTTTATTAAAATTTATAAAACAACATACCTCTATCAAATATATTTATTTTTACTTTTCTTCTGTCGACGTATAATGTTTTGGACTGTTTGTCAAAAAATGTAAAATGAAAAACTTGGAAACAAACTAAATAGTCACAACCTATCGTCGTTATCCCAGTCGTATCCATTTTACCTTGGATACCAGTGGCTGCTACTGTTTTACCAGTGTTTGTATCACCAGAAAACACAACTTTTAAATTCAAATTTTTCATTCAAATTATTTAGTTTTTTATCTTTTTTTAAATAAATTCATCGACTTTAAAACGACAAATTCGACTTGATATTTTAATATTTTATATTAAAATTGTAATAAATGTATCATTTTATTACTAAAATTGTTATTGTTTTTTTATTTATTTTCAATAGTTCAGCAAAATAAATTTTAATTAATTAGCAAAGTTAACCAATGTATTACAGTTGACCAAATAATTATCAGAGACCAAATAATTGTAAGAAGGATGTATTTCCCGTTAATTACCTTGGAAATGACCAATGAAAAAAAGTAAAAAAAAAGGTACACCAAATAATACCAAGAACCCATTTCTATTTTTAAAAATAGTTCTTGATTAAGGTTTTAGAACTATTTATTTTACTTCTTACAATTATTTGGTCTATGACTATTATTTAGTCAACAATATAAGTGTTTCGAACAATTCCTTTATTAATTACATAATGTTGGTTTAAAACTGTTATTGTTTTCAATGATAAATAATGTTAATAGTTATTGAATAAATTTTAATAAAATATACATATTTTTAAATAATTATAATTATAATTGTTTTTACGTGTGAAAAAAACTTTATAGAACAATTACGTTAATGTTTTTGACAGATGATTTACTTATGGATTGTATAAAAAATAAAAATTAATACTAACACACCAAATTAAATAATTAAACTATACTTTATGATAAATATACTAATAAAATATAGTAATCACATTAGTATGTTAATTTATCAATTGTTTCAATTGGATGGAGAGAGTGTTGTTATTTATTAGTTCAATAATGTACGAAAACTTACTATACACAATACAATGAGTGCCATCAAAGAAGTTTGCAAAGAAAATGAAGTTGAAGATGGGCTTGTCCGTAAAAATGCTTTTGGACTCCCTGTCTCTATAGAAGAGAAATTGATTCTTCTTGGTGAAAGTGCTGTAGGTAAGACTTCAATCATTCAAGCACAAGTAAATAAAGTGTTCAATCCAAGCATTTTATCAACAGTTGGTGTTGAGAAAGAGAGTTGGGTATTAGCTGCAAAAGAGGGCTTATTTTGTTGTGAATTATGGGACACTGGTTTGTATCATCATATATCATTGTATTTGTTTTAAATTATCATCTAATTCAAGTGAAATTATTATTATAGTAAATTGTTATTAATAATATTATTTTATTGTATTTAATACATTTTAATTAAAACTATAATAATATTTTACTATACATTATAATATCATTATATAATATATTAATATATTAATAATTTATATACAATAATAATATTTACTATTAATAACATATAGCTGGACAAGAAAAATTCCGTTCAGTCACTAAAACTGCGTACCGAGGAGTAAATGGAGTGATTTTTGTGTTTGATGTGTCAAACAAAAAATCGTTTGATAGTTTGTTGGTAGTTTTTGTGATAAAAAATTAATAATATAAATAGTTATATTTATTATTGAAAATAACAAAAAGGCATTAATTTTTGGATAGACGATTTCAAGAAAAGTGAAGGCGATACAATGACTTTCATGTTATGTGGAAACAAGTGCGACATTGCCGAGAGAATTGTAACCAAAGAAGAGGCCAAAACATTTGCAGATAAAATTGGAATGAAATATTTTGAAACATCTGCCAAAAATGGGACTAATATTAAAGAAATGTTTAAAACTCTTGTAAAAGAAGTCTATGAAAAAAATCCAGAACTGTTTGGAGAAGCTCCACAAGTCAAAAAAATTCAAATCACATCACAACAACAGATTTCTGATAAACAACAAACACAAGAACTTAAACAATGTTGTTAATGTTTTATAACTTTAATTACTATAATTATTTAAACTATTATAATATTAATAATAATACATTATTTATATAGTAAAAATAATTATAATTAAATTATAATGTATTAATTTACTCTTATACATTAGTTATTTTACTATTATGTAATTATAAATAAAAACGATAATTTGTAAATATAAACTAATAACTTGAATTATTAATATTATTAATTACTATTAATATTATAATTTATCATTATTTAATTAATAATTATACTATATTTATTACAATAACTTTTACACATAATAATATAACAAATATAATTGAAAATAATACTATTACTATACTATATTTTATTAATACACATACACTATTATGAAAATTGTTAAATTATATAATAAATATTATAATAAATATTATAATATTTACAGTCATGCGAAAAAGCTGTCGCGTTTGGAAAAACCTGTCTCGGGTGGTAATGAACTATTCTAGGACTATAAACAAATGATCTGA